GAAGAAAGACAGTCTCTTCAATAAATGGTGCTGGTTGGCTTTCCATATGCTGAAAATTAAAGTTAGACCTATGCCTATCACCATGTACTAAAGTCTAAATTGGTCAAAGATCTAAGTATCAAAACAGAAACACTAAATTTGTTGGAAGACAAAGTAGGTAGAAATCTTGAAGACACAGGAGTAGGTAGAGAACTCATGAACAAAGATCAAACCACATGGGAAATACTCATGGAATCAATAACTGGTATCATGTCCTATTAAAGAGTTTTTGCATGTTGAAAGAAATCTTTAGCACAGTGAAAAGAAAACCCACAAATTCAGAAAAAATCTTAGTGAATGGTCTTTCAGACAGAGGACTTCTGTCCAGAACATATAAAGAATTAAAAAATATCAGACCCCCAAAATTCAAAGACCCATTCCAAAAATGAGCATCTGAGATGAATAGACAGTTATCAGATGAAGAAATATAAATGGCAAATAAATACATGAAAAAATGTTCAGCATCATTGGTCATTATTGAAATGCAAATTACAACAACACTAAGTTTCCATCTCACTCCAGAAAGAATGGCCAGGATCAAGAAAACTACCAACAACAAATGCTGGAGAGGCTGTGGGGAAAAAGGTACTCTTCTGCACTGTTGGAGGGAATGTAGACTGGTACAATCACCATGGAGGTAAGTTTGGAGATTCCTCAAAAAGCTGGGATTGGAGACCCCATTTGACCCAACTTTTCCACTTCTGAGCATATTCTCAGAAGAACTGAAAGGAATCATAGCACAGTTATATATGTGCATCCATGTTTATAGTAGCACAATTCGTAATAACCAGATCATGGAAACAATCTAAGGAATGGATAAAAAAGATGTGCTATTTTTATACAGTGAAGTATTACTCTGCTATAAAGAATGATCACATAAGTAAATGGATGCAACTTGAGATCATACTCATAAGTGAAATAAATCAAGCTCATATATGTAAATACCATATAGTCTCCCTAATGTAAGAAATGGCAAGCATACATAAGATACAAAAAACTCAATAATTATAGTGAAAGAATGAGATTCTGCTTAAAGGAGAAATAACATCTCAGGAAAAATGAAGAAAAAGCAAGGGAAAATGTCTAATTATTTAAACACAGGACAGCTAAGATGATTGTGCTACAAACTCTATAAACTCTTAGAACAAAATAGTTAACATTCATAGGATTGGAACAATGGTAATATTATTGTATCGTGTTCTGAGGAACACTGGAAGACCATTATGTAAAATGACAACCCTAGTTATCCCCCTCCACCTTGTTTAGAAGGCCTATATTGTCAGTGATCTGGGCTCTTTGATATTGTTGTGTATATGTCTATTTCATTTTGTGTTTTTCTAGGAATTTGTATTGTTTTGTCTTGTTTTTCTGCCTGATACAGAATATATATATATACATACATGTAGAGACTCATGCATGTGTAGAACTTCTAAAAAGTTTATGAGAATCGATTATATAATGCACACTACAATGAACAGATACTTTGAAAAAAAAAATCACTAAGGTACCCAGTGCTGATTCCGTGGCATCATGAAGTGAAACCAGCAATACTATTTTTCTTTTTTTCAACGTGATTTTAGTCTGTTTTGTTTTGTTTAATTTTAACATACAAGAAGGTAAGAACAGCTGTTTTGAAGAAAATGAGAGACATTATGGCACCCATTGTTGACTTCCCTATTGGCTGGCCTTGAAGACCTAAAATGACTTTATCATTCTGTTTTGATCAGTTTTAGACTATTTTGTTTTGTATGAATTCATTGTATGTAAAGATATGGACAACTATTTAGAAGAAAACAAGAAACCATATGATAGACAGTAGATATCCAGTTTTCTTGCATTGAAATCTGTGTTTCTTACATTGTTTTCTTATGATGTTTTGTTCTGTTTAATTTTACCCTCTTTAAAAATAAAAAAAGATAATTTTTTAAAAATCTAACAGTCATCCAGAGATAGGGGGAGGGAATAACTTATAATAGCAGTAAAGAATAAATTTTGGTGTTAAATACAAGACAATATGTGCACAAGCTGAATGCTAAAAACAAAATAATCTTGAATAAAAACAATCATGGACGACTAAATAGATGGAAAGCTACCCAAGTTTCATCACATTTTAAACAATTACTATTTGACATATCACTACTAATAAAATTCTTCTACAGATTCATACTCCAATAAAATTATCAACCATTAAAAAATATCGGCAGGATCATTCTCATATTTACATGGACAGACAGAGGAAATGGATCAGACAAACCAATTTGATAAAGAAAAACTTGTGAAAAGTAAGTATAAAACTACCAGACTGCATATGCTATTCACGTCTATGGTACACACAAAAAGACAGATACATAAATCAATGAAATAAAGATTTTAGAAACTGATTGACAAGCTCAAATGATTGCTTGCAAAGACAATTTGATAGAAAAAACATATTCTTTGTAAGAAGTTGTACTGGAACACTTGGAATCTGTATAAATAAGGAACAAACAAACCTTGGCATGTATTTGTATCTAGTAAAAATTGATTTGAAATGAATTATAGACCAAATTGGAAAATATATAATTATAAAATTTCTAGGAGAACTAAAGATAGTGATAAATATTTAGATAAAACTATAAAACATAAATCATGGATTCGATAAACTGGATTTATCAAAGTTATGACTTTTGCTTTTCAAAAGATACTCAAAAAGAAAACAGAAGCCACAATAAAAACATGAAACTTATATTACAGTTAATGAATTTGTATTCAGAATATAGAGAACATTTAACAGTCACAAGAAAACAAATTACCTAACTAAGATGTCTAAAGCTATAATCAAAATTTTGAGAAAGAATTAGGTGAAACTTAAAAACATATTGAGATATCTCTATATACCTATAACAACAAAAAGAAATAATGCTGAAGTCTTATAAGGATACAGAAAATACAAACTCCTTCAAAACTAATGGAAGTCTAAAATTAGTATCTCTCCTTTGGAAAACTGACAATTTCTTATAAAATTAAGCACATACTTATCATATGAAACAATAACAACATGTTTACTTTCAACTCATGGAAAATTACAAAACCTTATGCAAAAGTGGCATATAAATACTTATGCAAGCCTTTCACTGGAAACAATATTCCCCAAAATATGTGAACAATGAACACACTGCAGTGCATCCATAAAAAGAAATACTTCTAAGCTCATAAAATAACTATTGGTTCACAGAACTCTATGAAGGAATCATATTTTCATTTTTTTAAATGAAAGCAGTAAGATTCAAAGGGTCACATATATTCTATGATTTTTGATTATGTGCCGTTTTGCTCATGGCAAAATGATAAAGATTGGAAAAAATGTCATGAATTGAGAAGACTCTGAGAGTGTGAGTATGTAAGACCACATAGGGTAATGCTGCTTACAGTATGGTACTGTCGGGGTGGACACAGAGTTTTATGCTTTTTTTTTTTTTCAAAATTATAAGTATAAGAAATAAAGAATAACTGTAATGCACATATTTATATTACAAGTTCAGCTAAGATTTTGAAATCCCAAAATGTAATTAAGACTGTACCAAGTGAGTTTAACTGTGCTATTAAAGTGTAAGAAATCACTGAAAATTTTCCCATACATAACTGTGGAAAGTAGTGATTTGATCCAATAATATAAAACTAAGCCAGAAATAGTTTTATATAAACAGTGTATTATAGTTGGTAACTCTAATATGCCAAGAGTACAGTTAGGAATTCTGAAACAACTTTGCAATCAGCAGAGTTAAACAATTAAGTAAATAAAATGTAGATTATTCACAACCTGCAATGTATTTGAGGATGCATCATTTATACTACCAGAATAAAAGGTTACAAAGTAAGCTAGAAAGCCTTCAGTGAATATATTGATAGATTACAGCTATGGTACAGTACCTTTTTATTTAGCATACATATATATAGGTGACGGGAGAAACAGAGACATGCATTTCTATGCATATAGATTTATGTTTACTGAAAGAATAAACAGTGAAAAATCTGTAATAATAAGCACCATTGTTTTTTATTTTTTTTAATTCACATTCTAGACGCTGTTCTCCAATAGAAGGATCTAAGGCTTTCTTAGAAATGATTAATTCTAGTGCTGGTACAGGGAAAAAAAAATTCCAGGAAATCTTGTAATGCTACAAAGTAAGGAAATGTTCATTAATTATAATACAAATAAATGGATAGGACTGTCAAAAAATGCAAGAATTAGCATGAAAAAGAAAGATCTCAGAAGAGTAGACCTACACCAATGTAAGCAACAAAATAGTATTATTGAATTATAATCCAAGTTATACAATACATATGTTTGTGACTGTAGGAAATAAAGAAAACTGTAAGACTGCAAACAAGAAGTACATCCACCAAAGGCATAGCCCCAGTGACCACCTTCTCCTCCTAGACCCTACCTTCCAACTGCACATGCATTCATGAACATCAGTACAATAATCCAGAGCTGAACCAGACGTGGTGATGTGCACCCGTAATCCTAGAACTCTGGGAAGCTGAGATTGGAGGATCACAATTTCGAACCCAACCTGGGCAATTTAGCAACATTTTGAGGCCCAATCTTAACAAGTTCCTGAGGATGTAGTTCACTGTAATTGCGAAAACTGTCACATTGTTTTAACTAAGAAAAGCTAAACTAGATAATTAATGGAATTTCCTTCAAATGAAGTCATTTGTCCAATGTCCTTATTTTACATAAGGCAAAACTTCTCTAAATATTAAAGAAAACCTGTGCAAAATTTTAGTAGCTAGGCCCTATGATATCTGCATATATCCTGACACTTTTATCTAATTTCTCCCTGACGTCTAACAGCTGTCATGTGCCAGGAGCCTCTGATAACCCTCAAGCAATTTACATGTCCCAACCCATAATTGTTACCCTCTGACCCTTAACTAAGAAACATTCTCTCTTCCTTTATGACATCACCTTCACAAGCAAATGTGGTAGGGTAGGGATGCACCATAAAATCTGCTCCTGATGGGTTATTCCTGGACATTCCTGAGGACACTTTTCATCATTAGCAGGTCAAAGCTAATTTAACAATGACTTACCTTAACACAAAATGAAGGTCAAAGAGGTAGCCATTCTTATAGGCATAAATTATACTGATTTTCAATATTATTTGCGTTGATGTTAATATTGTCAGGTTATCTCTTGCAAATACTTATCCACTCCAATACCATACACTCCAATATCACAGCAGTGCTAATATAAATATAAGAAAACCTAGCAGAGAAGTGGCTTATCAAACCTTCTACTATTCTTTGTAATACTTCTATCTTTTTGCATTCCCTAAGTCAATATGTTTTAAGAATCCAGAAAATAGATAGGTATTGGTAGAATTTCAGGGATATAAATCTAACTGCCCATCTTATTTTTGTACTACCAAATTCAAATATTATTTTTATCTTTGGTGCATAAAGAAATTATATATTTTGTAGTTATAAATCTCTTTTCTCTTCTTTTAGCATCTTTGTTATTCATAAGCTTATTTTATTTATCTTGAGAAATTAAAAGTAAACACTACTACTTATGTTAATGTCTTAATGGGAAACTTGACGTTTTAAAAGTCCTCAACAGATAGCTTAAGTACTATAAACTTCCCTATTATATAACATTGATTATATATAATATGATATTTCTCTTTCTTGTAGTTTTATATTTGCTGTTCTTTTTGGATTCTTTTATCTGCTTATTTTATTTCTATTTGGCAATATATAATTTCTGAAAAGACGTCAAATTTTTATCAAATTATATTACTTCCAGCAAAATTCATCTTAGTGAGGCTAATTTTTTACTCATTCAAGGAAACAACCTTGCAGAATTTCCTTGGGTACTAACCAAAGAGTTCTTAAAGATTATTTCTTGGTTCTCACTGGCTGTAGCAGGCAATGAGTTTCCAAATGTATTAATTTTCTATTGCTGCACATAAGTTAGCACAAAATTAACCATTTAAAATGCTATGCATTCAATATATCATATTTCTACAGATCAAGAGTTCAGAAAAGACTTAGCTTTAGCAAAGTCTGTGTTCAGTATCAGGAGTTGAAAGTAGGATGGCACTCACTTTGCTGTTCTTTCTAGGAGTTTGAAATCTGATTGCAAGTTCATTTAAGTTTGTTGGTAGAATTTAGTTCATTGTAGTTGTAGTATTGTGGTCCTCAACTGTTCAGAGCCTGTCTCTTTTTACTGGAGGCTTACCCCATGATTTTTGTTTCTTTTTGAGGCCACCAGAAAATATTCTTGCTTTTATGGACTTTATCTGTTTGGCCTTATCTGTTATGGCCTTTATCTGTTTAAGTCCATTCCATCCAAAATAATGTCCCTCAGAGCATTTAAAGCCAACTAACTAGATACTCCTGTTAATCTCAAAAATTACATCTTTGTCATGTTACATAATCACTCAAATGACATTTGTCAGTGTATGACTCTTCCTACATATGAGGGGAAAGGTTTATATGAAGACAGGTACATTAAGAGATTTTGATGGCTCATTGTAGCATTTATTTACCACATCACTTTCAGAAATTGACACAATAGTGTGACAATTAACTTTGTCTTTGTTTCTCAAATCTCTCACTTGGGAATTTAATGATATATAGACATTTAGTGTTTTAAAATTGTCTCTTCAACCAATTTACATTATAGACCAGCCACCCATGAGCTTTGCTATCTATAATATATAATGAATTTGGACAAGAAAAATACCTATTCTGAGTCATCTTTATGGAATCATCCCTGTCTAATATCTAATCATTATCTAATTATACAAATAATTTCCTTTCAAATCAATTTCCTATTCATCTAAAGTCAACAACAGCAGCTGTCAATGTGGTGGCGGTTCCTACAAATATAATTTTATGGTATACCCTAAAATTAAGGTTCCATTCTTTGCCAGTCTTTGCTATCTACTGAAAATATGGGACTTTTCTGAGCAAAGGAAGCTTGCTTTTTGTAATTTTTTTATCTTATTATTTCCATATTTTAACTCATCATTGTAATATTTAAATCATTTTAATTTTATTCCGTTAGGAGAAGCAAACTCAGGACTGACTTATGCTTTTTAAATATGTAATAATTCAGTAAAATACTCCACATTATTCAAACATAACAAGAAATCCAGATTTAATCTTTTTCTTTGTAAACTATTTCAAAGAATTAAACTAGAAAATATCAATTAAAACACATTTTAACAAATTTTAACACATCACTAGTATATTACTACTCTAGAGACAAAAATTACTCAAAGAGGGCTGGGAATTTAGTTCAGAGCCATATACTCCACATTATTCAAACATAACAAGAAATCCAGATTTAATCTTTTTCTTTGTAAACTATTTCAAAGAATTAAACTAGAAAATATCAATTAAAACACATTTTAACAAATTTTAACACATCACTAGTATATTACTACTCTAGAGACAAAAATTACTCAAAGAGGGCTGGGAATTTAGTTCAGAGCCATAAGTGCCTGCCTGGCGAGCACAAGATCGTGAGTTCAATCCTCAGTACCAAAGGAAAACAAACAAATGAAAATTTAAGATAACAGATTTCTTTCGGTTTCTAATAACTTCCACCTGAATAAAGATAACAATATTTATTTACACTAATGCGAGAAGTCTATTGGAAAGCTTCAGAGAAAATATGGTGTTTAGCTAATAGGAATTCCAGTTTTGAACTGCTAGCACATTAAAGAGTTTAATTTATTTTTAAGTAATAAATAACCATTTCATATATTTACCAGGTACACTATGATAGTTTGGTTTATGCACATATTAAAAAATATTCAGTCAGACTACTTAACATATCCAGCACCCAACCTACTCAGTGTATGTGTGTGTGAGTGTGTGTGTGTGTGTGTGTGTGTGTGTGTGTGTGTGAGTGGGTGCTTAGAATAGGAAAATGAATGGGAAAACATCAAGGATTCAAAGTTTAAATTAGGCTGGAGGAATGCTTTAATAATATATTACATTGTATTGTGATCGGTTAATAATGTTTTGAATATTTTAGAATTGCTAAAAGATCACTTGTAATATTAAAAACATCGTATTAGCTCTAATACCTCCTAAGCAAGTTGACAATTAACAAGACAGATGCCCATTTAAAGAGCTAACGTAAAATGTAAATAACTCTTTTTCCAAATCTCAAACCCCAGGTACTCAGAAAGACTTTATCTTTGAAGTTCCCAAAGAATAATTTAATATTAATATTTAATATTAATATTTATTAATATTAATATTAATATTCCATTCTTTGGCTCCAAGGTCAGAAAATTTATTTATTGTATTCAGGAAACCTCTGGGATACTGAGAATGGCCTGAAAGTGAAAACTGGAAATGTTTTGTGTGACATTACCCACACTTGATTATTAGCCACAGTTCTCAAACTGCAGTAGTGAGGAAAGGAATTTCAGTTCCTATTGCTAGGCTACACTTGATGAGGGATACCAAAGCCTTACATATCTGACAAATTCATGAGAGCACACTGAGCAAAAATAGAGCGTGAGGTGATCTCAAACAACCAACTTTTATTTAGCTGTTCAAAAGCCTGATTATCTAAAGTTAGACAGGGCTGTTTCACTGTTAAACTGATGCTTTCCTTAAAGAAAGAGACTGAAGATGTTCCTTAACATCAGTTTGATGCATCAGTATTTCCTCTGAGAAAGGAATCAAAGTCATATATTTTCCATGCATGTTTTACACAGTTTGAATCATTTTTAAAACTACTAAACAGGTAGTGCGTGGGAGGTATATTATTAACATATAGTAGATTTATGTGGTACTAAGCTATGTACATCTTTTACATGTTTGCGTTTGATTAATTTTTAAATGGCCTTCTAAAATAGACCTATATTTCTAGAGTTTAAAGATTACAGGGAAATTTTCACTCAAAATATATCAATTTATGAAGAATCTTAGATATGCAACAAAAAGAGAAATACATGCATACATTGATGAGCCAGGTACTGTAACAATTGATTTGAACATTAGGCCCACTTGGAGTCACTTTGTTGAATTTCTAACTGTGGAATTTGTCCATGATTTATTTTAACCAGTGGATACTTAGTTTGGTAAAAGGAAAGATAAGTATCAACATTTCTTCAATATTTCTAAATATAAAGACATTCAGATCTTACACAAAAATCAAATAAAGGATTAAAATATGAGTATTAATAACCTGATGTCATAAAAATCAAAATGTCTTTTGTTTAATGGTATTGATGGCAACAGCTAGGTCTAATCAACAGTAGTTTAAATCCTAAAAACGTCATGAAAAACTTCTGGTTCTATCTCTAACACTTAAAGTGCTTACTGGTTATGATGTACTGGATTTCAACAACAAAATCAAATCAGAGAGAAAAAATTTAGTAAATCCAGATTATTTACAGAGAAACAAGAATAAAATTTACAGCAGATTTCTTATCAGGAATCTTGAAAGCAGACAGGGGAAATGTTAAAAATGTTAGGATAAAAAATTCCACCAATTCAGAACACTGTATCCAGGGACATTATCTTTCAAATGTGAAAAACAAAGGCTTTCTCAGGACTCTTTCTACTCCTCCAGTGAAAGATTTTGTCATCAGCAAATTGGCCCCAGAAGAAAGTCTGCAATGTATTTAGAGGAATGAAAGATGTATAGGTTAGAAGCTCGGATCTGCAAAAGCATTCTTATGTCTATGTAAGAGTTAGATGTTTAACACATTTTTTTTTTTTTTTTTGTAAATAAGAAGTTGAAGAGAGGGGAAGAAAATGGTAAAAAAAAAAAAAGAAAGCACGATATATATATATATATATATATATATATATATATATATATATATCATGCACAGGTGCAAATTCCCTGTGATGAATGTTATCATTACATATGTCTAAAACGTACCAATAAAACAAAAAAATTCAAAAAATAATGTATTGGGTATCTGTAGCACATGGATAAGTGAATAAATGAGTGATAACAATATCTAAGTAATAGGAAGGACAAACTGAGAATGCTATATTAAGGTATTAAGGCATGTATTGCACAT